CGGGGCGGGCCCAGGCTGGGTGGGGTGGGTGTGCCTTTCTCCCGCTGGGCTTCCCTGCTGGGGGTGGGATGGAGATTTCCAAATGGAAAGATACCCATCCACCTACAAAGGTGAGGAAAGCGAGAGATGACTTTTAAAAGAATGCACGTGGTGCACCAGGCAGATGAAGAAGACAATGGCCCAGCTCTCCTAAGGAGCATCAGAACCGGCTCTGGACATTGTAGGCTCTTAAAATGGAAAAAAAAAAAAAAATAGGACCGCGCAAAGGAGGCCTAGACTCATGCTTCCACATATCTTAACCGTGGGAGGGAACCAGCACTATCACTGCCTCCATGAACAGCTGAAGAAAAAGAATAGCTATTATCTATGGAACACCTGCCATGAGCCAAGCACTGTGCTAAATGATTTAATAGATTAACGCATTCGAGTCTCATTTAAGAACCATGAAAGGGAAATACTTTTATTCCCACAATAGCTGAGAAACTTACAAGTAACCGCTGAAGAACTTTAAATCAGTGGGCTCTCCGACAGCATTCTATCCCGGAACTGAAGGTGGCACTGACAAGCGACCACCTAGTCTTCTTTCTGCCGCCCATGCAGCCGGCCTCTCTACTTCAAAGTTCCCTGTCTCCAGCATGGACTCGCAGGAGCACCATGACCATTAACTAGAGACCAACCGGGAAGGTGCACCACCCTACCTGCCTGCCCTAGCTACTGCTCAGGCCCACCTGACACCAGGGTGCTCCTTGTTCTCAGCTCTCCAGCTGGCCTCTTTCAAAATCCTTCCTGCTCACCCATCTCTCCTTCTCCACCAGGATCTTCTCACCTGCTGTTTGAGCTGCCTGGAATGTTCTTCCCTCCCCTCATTGCCGAGTTTACTCCTAGTTAACCTTCATGTCAGCTTAAGCCTCAGGCAAGAATCTCCTCACCTAATGAAGCCGGTCTCTATTGGTAGGATCTCGGAGCACCATGTATGCTATGGAATTATTTAATGTTTTCCTCATTAGACGGTAAGCTCCATGAAGGCAAGAATCATGTCTGGCTTTGCTCATCATTTCATTCCCTCCTCTTAACACAAAGCATGACATGCAGCATGCAATCCATAAACAGCTGTTGATTAAATAAATGAAAGCGTAACAATGTTATGGCAGCAGCATAAGTTTAGCTCAGTAAGATCCTTTTTAGCCAGTAAGATAAATAAGACCAAAGACATCATGTCTATCTTATTTATTCATCACTATGTCCCCAGTGCCTAGCCCTGTGCCAAGCAAATGAATATATATTGTCTTTTATAGGAACCAGCTGTCTTGCTATTCTTTCCAAAAACTCTATCGCCCGCACCATCTTTGGAAAATAGCAGCTCAGAAACAACTCTGTGCACCAGAGCAAAACAAGGTATGGGGGGGTCTGTGGTTCCTATGCAACGGGCACAAGTGTCTCGTGGGTTTTTTTAAGTTTTACTTATTTTATGCTGTCACTTGCTGGGCCGGGTGGACGTCAGAAAACCTAGAGACCAGGCGCACCTACCAGGAGCTGGGTTACTGGTTAAATCACTGAGCTCTCTTTCTGGATGGATAGTGTAAGTTAGGGATCTCTGACAATATTCCGGCAGTGTACCTCTCACGGAATACTATCAGCAGTAGAATGAAAGCCCAGCTGCTGAAGTCAGATAGTCTGAGTCCCTGACTCAGGAACCTTCAGCACACATGGCATTATGCAAGTGAGTCTCAGGGTTGCAGTGCCCTTATCTGTGATAGTGGAGATAATGCCTGCCTTACAGGGCTTCCATGAGGGTTCATCTGCTGGTACTTGTGAAACGTCTTCACACAGAAGGCTCATTAAATACTATTTTCCTGAGATTCTTTCCTTATACAATCATTTGCTGATGGGATTCAAAGCCATTTTCCTATCATGATGATCATAGAGCCCACGGTGGGAGAAAATGAGTTGTTATAATTGGAGTCTTGGAAGGCAGATTTTCTCTAGGTTTGTGTAAACTATGGTAGTCACATTTGGATATTTTTTAAACTGCCAGTTGTTGGACATCTACTCTGTGTCAGATACTGATCAAGGAGGGAAAACAACACACAGAAGAACAAATCAATGTTTCTGCCTTCACAGACCTTACATTCTAGCTGGGAGACAATAAACAAGTGTGTGTGTGTGTGTGTGTGTGTGTGTGTGTGTGTGTGTGTGTATTTGCAGGTGAATAAAATGTCATGTAAAGTGCTACAAAGAAAAATAAAGCAAGGAATTGAGAATGACCAAGGCTGCTGTTTTAAGTAGGCTAATCAAAGAAGCACTCTCTGAGGAGAGGACATTTGAAGTGACCTGAATGAAGTGAGGAATGGGGCCTGGAAACCTGAGGCGAGACTGTCCCGGGCAGAGAGAAATGAAATGGGATGTTCAGGACACATGGCTGAAGCAGACTGAGCAAGGGGGCAGTGACCGAGGTGCGGCCAGAGAGGCAGGCAGGGGCCGGGGCAGGAGGCCCTCCTGGGTCATCTCAAGGACACCAGGACTGTTTTAAACAGTAAAAGCTCACACTCAAGTTTTGTTTTATGATATCGCTCAGAGTCTTGCTATCAGGCAGAGCAGCACAATGACCACACCTAGATCATAGAGGCTAATAAAAGGCGTGGCTAATGTCTGGCCTTTGAAGTGTTGGAGGCGGTTGAGCTGTAATTTTATTTATGTGGGAACTACAGCACAGTGACTTGAAACAGGTACTCTAGTTCCCACATATCAAATTGCTGATGAGGACAGAACAAGATGGGAAAGGCTTCGGCTGCCCCATCTGGTGAGCTACTGATCACTGGGGTTGACTCAATTCATCTGACCTGACAAGGAATTGTGTGTTTTCCTTGTGTGTCCGTCCCTTGAGGACAAAGTGAAAGCCAGGCCTACCTTCCGGGCACAGAGATGTCCCACGTCTCCTCTGTTTTGCCGTCTCTCTGGTATTTCCTAGTGAACTGGCTAAGGTGAGTGGAAAGGCATGTGAGGTGTCAGGATTCAGGTGAACTGTTAGTCTCTGTCTTCCCCGGAGGTCACCCCCACGCCTAAGTGTATCTTTCCTCAGAAGCGGGGGCTACTGTGGCGCTTGGTGAAAGTTCTCTGTGGCGGAGGCCGGCAGCATGCCTTTTATCTGATGTTACAGTGACATTAAAATCAAGGGAGATGCCGCACCAAGAGGTAACAAGGGAATTCAAATCAGTTGTAGAAAACAGAAGCAGATGCCCAGAACTGACAGGCAGAGCGAGCCGAAGATTGAAAAATTAAGAACAAAGATTCAAAAGGACAAATAAATCTTGGATAAATATTGTAGACAGGTACTGTTGCCCACAGCTCCGTTTTATGTGCTTATTGAGGTGGCCAGCTGTGTTTAAAGGACCAGCAACGAAGGCTCACGACCATGTTTTGGGATCAGCCTTAGGTTCGTTTTTTGTTGTTGTTTTTGGGGTGTTTTTGTTACTGTTCTTGAGATCCCTGCGGGCTGAAGCTGAGGCTTCCTAACTACAAAGGTCTGCAATGGAATATTCAGGAGCTAGAGACCATGGTCAGCTACAGGGAGCACCTCCCATAAGCCAGGCAGCCTGGCAGAAAGAGGCATCTAAAAGGTACTCAGGCCACATCTGTAAATCCCCTTTTCCTGCAGAGCCTGGGAGAGCATGATGGCACCCCACTGTTACCTCCCTTTCAATCTCAGGTCCTACCTCCTGCTCCCTAGCTCCCTGTAGCTGGTGGCCCCATAGGAGTTAGAAAACCAGCCCAGCTGCATTACTAATTGAAACCACATGTCAGATTACCCTTCTCCATGGCCAGTTAGAAAGGAGATCCTCTCATTTTTTAAGTAACCTGTTTCTAGCTAAAGAGCCCTTTTGGAAACAAATAGAGTGAAGAAAATTAGCTCTTTGGGGGAAAGAAAATCAAATTTGAACCTCCATATTTGTAGAGAGCACCAGGGAAGGCACATGAGCTGATTGTCAGCTGAGTCCAA